CCCAATCTCTTTCCTATGCGTCAGCGATTTTACCTGGACAGAACATTGATGTGTATGTAAGTGTCTGAGAGAGACCTTGACGTATGTATGGCTTATATCTGCAGCGGTCGAGTCAAAAATGTTAGGTAGAGCTCGCTACTTCGGGTATTGGTACAAAACAAACTAACCGGCCCTCTCCTCTCTCCCCTGGGGTTGATGCTCGATTATCGGGCACAGTGTACTGGTAAGTAGGGCTGGGTAATGAGTCGCTTGAGAAAAATCCGGATATTATGCTGTCCTCGTCGTTTTATGCAAGAAAAATTCTGAAATTATGCAAACTGAGCCCCAAAAATGTGAAATTTTGTGATTCTGTTAATTATAACAAAAAATGGAAAAGGAAAATATTCAGAAATTATGCAAAAAATGGTCAAATTTGGCTAAATTATGTGGGGTGCATAAAACCACTGGGACAGATTATGTAAGTGCACCTCTTCGGCAAAATGAATGTGTTATGAACCGCATCGGCAGATGGGTTTTAACCACGTCGACAGACGGGTTAGAACCACCTCAACAATACATTATTATGGGTGCACCCTCTGAGGCAAATGGATTATCAAAGAGGGTTAAAGAGTCTGAATTCGGATAATGTTTCATTGAGAGTTACTCGGTTTTCCAGCACGTTATCCGGATTTTGCTTACCACTACTGGTAAGTAGAGTTGTTGTCAGCCCACAGAATTCTATACTAAGTGTAGAATTCTGTGTGTCAGCCTCTCTAGCAGTCTGTCTGCTCGGGTACTTCAAAGGTAGCCCGCAGAGCCAGCCCAGACCGCGGGTGCTGTGAAGCCTGATAACAGCAGATGGCTGTTGGTGTTGGTGCTGGTGCTGATAGATGGAAGGGTAGATGGAAGGATGGATGGATGGATGGATGGATGGATGGACGGATGGATAGAGGGATGGATAGACTGATGGGTGGGCTAATAACGATGCGGTTTGATTTTGTTGGGGATGGATAATGTGTGTTATTTTGGGGGTGGGGGGTGTAGGTGGGGTTGGTTAGAAGTGTGTGTGTGTGT